CACTGAGTGTCACCATCATAAGACAGAATTTGAAGTCAGTAATATTCCAAGTTTAAGATGTTAATGGGCCTCTATCACTCTGCAAATTAGATAAAATGGACAAATTCTTTGAAATACATGAGTCATAAAACTGATGAACAAAGAAATAAAAAAACTTAAGTGTATTAAGGAACTTGAATATGTAATTTAAAACTGTCCTACAAAGGAAGCTTCAAGCCTAAAGCTTCTCTTCTAATGACACCAAACATGTAAGGAAGGGATAATGCTGATTCTGTGCAAACTCTTTCCAAAAATAGAGAAAGAGGAAATACTTAGGAACTCATTAGACAAGTAGTATTCTGAAACCAAAACCAGAAAATAACATTATAAGAAAAATAAACTACATCCTAATATCCTTCTTAAAAACAGAAACAAGAATCATTAATACCATTAATAAAACATTAGCAAATCAAATACAACAATATATTAAAAAATGTCACACATGGCCATGTGTGATGTGTGTTTTACCCCACAAATACAAGTTAGTTTAATCAAAAATTAATCCGTGAAATTTGCCATTTTAACAAAAATTTTAAAACTGTATGATCATCTCAATAGATAAAGAAAAAGCATTTTAAAATATTCAACAACTAATCATGAATTTTAAAAAATCTCCAAACTAGGAATTAAGGGGAGGGAAACTCCTTCAACCTAACAAAGAGTTCCCATTAAAACAATAAAAATAAAATCTTCAACTAATATCACACCTAACACTAAAGCACTTGACATCTCCCCAAGATTGGGAAGAAATGCCTACTCTGTTTCTGTCTGGCATTTATTAGAGATTCTATTCAGTGAAATAAGGCAAGGAGAAAAAAATACATGAAGATTATAAATAAAGAAATAGGAATTCCTATTAATGTCAGAATCAGAATAATATTGTCCAGTTTTACTACAGTGTTTGACAATGTGGACCTTCCTCTGCAAACTTTCTGCATTTGTTAAAACCACTTAACAGACATTTTCTGTTTTGTCTGATTTCTACTGTCTTAGTTCGTTTATTCATTCAATAAATGCCATACACTACTCCAGGTACATAATGCAGGGGGTTTTCTTTTAGGAATGTATTACAGTTTTCTTCCCCATAGTAGGAATGGTTGTGTGATGAGAGTTTGAATAGTGATCAGGGTTTAGTTTAAGTTGTTACATGAATCAGACAGTAGTGGCAGATGCATATGTGAAGAGGAGAAGGGTGGCTACTACCTACCTACCGTGTGCAACCTGGTTACAGTCAGGCCAAGTCTTTCCTTGTCATCATACCAATCATGTTGGAATGTGACCCTGAAACCTGAGACTTTCTCTTCTCATTGTTCATCACTAGGAATTTTTGAAAAGGTCAGCACAGCTTTGCTGTAATTCAGAAGGAGCCATACTGACTGCAACAAATCACATCTCTGCCAACAATATTAGTAATAATAAGTGACACATACTCTGCATGTATTACATACAGGGGATTCTATAAGACATATACATTAGAGCTAAATGATAGTCTCAAAAACCAAAGAAGTCAGTTTTATCCCTTATTTTTCCCTTCTTACAAATAGAAATGTGACACACAAGGTTGGGGTAAATGGCAAAATTTGATCTCTAAACAGTTTGTGTTTACCTTGAGAGCAAATGTGTGATAAAAAATAATAAAATACTTCTACTTTGTTAACAGCACTCAAATTAATAAATCTCTTTACATTATTTAATTGTCTATATCCAGACTGCTCAATTAAGATAAAACATGTGGGAGAGCCATAGTTAATTATAACTGCTGTCCTTAATTTATTCAAGTTACTCTGGGAGTCATTCTAAAACAGAATGAACTCTGGAAATGATCATTTAAAAAGTCTTCTTCTCTCTAATCTTTAATAATTATCTCACTTAAAAAGTTTCTTTCTTCATCTTTTTTTTTGAATCATCTTTACTATCTTTGGAAGATTCTACATGATCAAATTTATTATATGCCGGATGGTCTATAAAATTTTACTATTTAATAATTTTGAATCAAATTTTATAATTACAACTGTTTACAATTTCAAGATTTATTAATTAATGAACAAAGACTTATTTCATATTGGCCCTGTTCAGTTCAATGGAGAACAGTAAATAAAATTTATTTTCATAAAAGATTATCAAGAAAAAAAATAATAATAATAAAGGGAAAATGACAGAGGAGAGATTATAAAGAAAATAGAAAATTTTGAACACTATTATGTCAAAATATTTTGCTTAGAAAAAATAATCAATTCCAAGAAAAACATAGCTTTCAAAAGTGACTCATAAGTAGCTTGAAAAGATTGATAACAAATTAAAGAAATGAATACATCTTAAAATATCCAACAAATAATTTTTAGATATTTTAAAGTTTAGTTCACCAAACTACCAATAAATGGATAATTTCTATAAACATAACTCATATTTTTTACAAACTTTGCTAGAGAAAATAAAAAGAGAACACTATCATTTTGTTTTCTAAGATATACAACTATGTTATCAAAATCAGATGAGGATGAGATAATCAATCTCATTCATTCATTTGGATGCAAAAAATACCCATTTGAGTTTATTCAAAAAGAGAATACTGCTTCAATTAGGAGGAGAGTTTGTTTACCGAATTTCCCACATTAGCAAATTGAAGGAACACCACACATTAGAAGCATTTAAAAACTTCAAAACCACTTTATTTTATTTATTTATTTTTGTGTATGTGTGTGTGTATATATATATGTATATGTTTGTATGTTGAAGTATAATCAGTTTACAAATATATCAGTTTCTGGTGTATAACATAATGCTTCAGTCATACATGAATATACATATTCCACTTTATTTTTAAAATACTTTCTAACTAGAAATAGAATGGATCCCTAGCACATTAAATGATATCTATTACTGATATCAAAGTAATGGCAAAACATTTGAAGCTTTTTTTAAAAAATAATAAATGAGAAAAAAAGGGCCATTGTTCAAGATTTTGTTGACTAAAACAGATTTTAAAATATAAGGAAATATTTAAATATTTGAAAAGAAACTAAATTAATATTAGTCACAAATTAAATAATTTCCTACATAGGATACCACAAGAATTTAGCAAAAAAATCATTATGATTCGTCAGGCAATTCACCAAGTGGCTCAAAATTAATATATCAAAGCCAACTGCATTTCTCTGTGCTAACAACCTAAAAATCTTGATGAGACATTTATAAAAACTATGCTTATAGAAATTAGACCAAAATAAATAGAGACAGATTACATACCTGAACGGGAAGAGCCACTGCCACGAGTATATCTGTTATGTAATTGATTAAAATATTCAGTGATCTTTTTTAAAATTCTAACAGGGGTGCTTATGGAGTTTGCCAAGATAACTATGGTGATGAGGATGTAGACCAAAAGAAACAATTACATACTACTAATGACTATGGACTTTGTGCACATACTTTAAAAATTCAGTGTGGCAGTCTCCGGTAGAGTTAAAATACATATATACTTTGCACCCACAAAATCCTGGAGAAACTGATGCCATGTATAGCATATTACATCATCAAGAATGTGCATTGCAACTTCATATTTAATAGCAAAAAAAAAAAGCCTAGAAATAATCCTAATGACTATCACTAGAAAAAAATAAGTGAATACCCTGAATTATAAGCATCTAAAAGAATAATATACAATGATAAAAATTAAGGTATCAACCCTTCTCTAGTTAGCATGGCTAAGTCACGAAAACACAGTATGATAGAAGAATACATATAATATGGTGTCATTTATCTAAAGTCTACAAACCTACAAAACCTAACTACATGTCCGTAAAGCATACAGAGGGAGGTAGGTTTTATAGGTGTGGGAGTAGGTTGAAGAGGGGGACACATTTGAAGCAGCAGCACTGGGTAAATTCAGGAAACGTGTCGCAAATCGCAAGAATTGGGGGACAAAAATGTGTACCTAGTTTTAGGGCATTCCCTCCCCATGACTAGAAATATCCCTCAGAAAATAAATACCTTATGTATGAGTCCTTACAAAGTATCTCATAGAGTTGAGCAGTCTCTTAGTTCCTTATTTTGAACAAAAAAAAAAACTGGAGGAAAAGATATAATAGCTTGAAATTACCTCAGCCTATGATAGACGTAAACAGTTATGAAGTTCACCTGAGGAAATCGGCAAGCTAAGGACTGAGGGGCGATCATAATCCTACTGTGACTGTTGACCAGGAACAGCAGCTCTTCCAGCCTCCTTTTTCATTCTAGAAGCCCCTCCAGAAATTATCTGAATGGGTCCCAAGAGAATATTAAAATTCCAGGAGCCATGGACTCTTACTTTAAAAGTGAAAGATTTTGAAACTTTATTTAAAATTTAGCCTCAATTTTGATGAACGAATATAAAAATGCAAATTTCAGTAACCATTGCAAATTGTTGTTTTGTGTGTTGCTAAACACAGGCTGGGAGAGTTAAGTGGCATAATAAATTTAAATTTAAGTAAATTTAAATTCACAGATGATTCCTTGTTGATTACCTCTGCTGCCTGTAACTTGATTTCTTTTTTCAGCAAAGAATGAAGAGAAATATCCCAGAGTTTGGTAAAGCTATTTGGATTTTATGCTTGCAATAAATACTTTGAAAGAGTAAAATGTTGCATGAAAGATTTCTTTTTTTCTTCATGATGGCTGGATGGCAGTACATGAAGCTTATAAGTAGGCTATAAAGTCTTTGAAATATACATCTTTTTAAAAAAATATAAAAACTTTAACTTATGTCTGCTAATTTTCTCCCAGATTATAGCATTAAACCATGCTTGTATAAGTGTTGGGTGACATATGACTTCATTATTGCTATAGCTCTGGCTCAGGCCAGCCCTCATGAATCCCAAAGAATAAATATTTCTCACCCTATACCCTCAACTGGTACAAAGGTTTCTGAATCATCAGAAAAGACTTGGTTTTGCATCTTCTTTTACTTGAATTTTTCTTTTTAGCTTTCCCCAGGTATTCACGCTTGCCAAGTCTATTCAGAAAAGTACTTCAGCATTCCTGGACTCGTGGTGAACAAGCGGAGCCTCATTCCCTGTGATCATATAAAAAAGATGCTTTCATTTGCTGAACAGCGTGATGTAGGATTGTATCAACCACTGGGCTTCTCAGACAAGGGTAAGTGTAGTTGCTGCTAAATTAACCTTTCCTTAAAACAAAGCTAAATCGTGTTTTCTGGTGGCTAGTCACAAAACAGCTAAACTCTATGGCTCAGGATAAGTGCCACCTGTTGATAATAGTTATTTCCTTATCCTCAGTTTCAATAAATTATATTGCCAAGATGTTTTAGTAAAGTCTTAAACACTGTACCACAAATAATACTCATACATTAAATAAATAAAAGAGTTTATGTTTGGACATTTAAACTCGAAGTTATAAGCACACCACTGTGTGCATTGTCTGATAAAATGTGTGATAGCAATAAATAGGTAAAATTTGCCAAGATACACATTTATGTTGATATATGCTTTCCTCAGATACTAAATTATATGTCTGTTTAAAGAGTAACAAAAACAAAAATTAATCAGATTTTATAATATAAAATTTTTATAAGAAATAAGTATTGAACATCTCTAGCTAGAAACAATAATTTGTATTCTGCTTTAATGTCTACTGCTTATGTGTGCAAAATAGATTACTTAAAGGCACTCATAGAAATAACCATGTTTGACAAAAGTCCACAGCCATTTTCTTGAAATTTATGGAGGAAAAGATGTGTTTTACGCTATTAAAAAAAAGTACTACTATAATATTTACTTTGTTTCATTTCTTCAGGTTTCTCAGAAAACACTGGTAATTAATTTTGGAGGGTAAATATTATATGATCTCATTAATATTTATAAGCCATTTGTCATCTTCACTATGATGTGCCCTTGCTAAAATTAAGATGTATTTGGTCAACATAATAACTCTATAAAGAAATTTTTCAGAAAGGAGAAAAATTAAAGTGGTTATAATGAAATATTATTTTCATGGCATGATTATTTAAAGGCACTCTTGTGTCATACCCTTCAAAATGTACTTTATGCCAAGAGGTAAGATTATCTCCAACTCTGGGTTCCATGATCCCCTGCTGTATATTGATTGAGTTCCACATGCGCCATATTCTCATCTTTCTACAGAGGAAGAATTATTTTACATTTTCTGTGGCTTTGACAGAAGATTTCACAGAATATAGCAGGATAAGTATATTTCTTCTCTGTTTCTCTTAGTTAAGCTAGTTCCTGTATTTAATCTTTATCACTATTAACAAACAGTCAAGTCCCCATCAACCCAGATCCTCTTCTACTGACGATTGTTATGTCAGGATAAGAAAGTAAACTGTTATATAGCATGTGTTGAATTAAATAAGAACTTTATTGTCAGAGTCCTCTCCTATCTAAATTGTCTCTGTTGTGCACACTAAGTTTCAATGAAATTAAAAAAAAACTTGCTTTTATTGTAATGTTTGGACATCCTTTCCATAAAGTTGTTTTTATTGAATATCTGTTCTAACTGTGAATTGCCAAAAACACAGTCAATTTGAAGAATATAGAACTTAGCAGCATGAAGCAGTAGAAATAAAGAAAAAGAAGATGGAGGAGATTTTGTCACTGGAATTTTTTCCAGAAATTTTTGGATATTTCTCTTTGCCTCAGAGTTATTAGAGCATGGCAGGAAATCTTTTGTTATTATTATTTTCATTTTTTCCTAATTATTATTCTGTGTTATCAAAACTTGGCTTAATTGATGAAGCAGGTTAGTTAATAGATATTTTTCTTAGAATGAGCAATTGCATTTAAGAAATGAGTATGAGACCCTTATGCTTATGTATGTAACATTTTTAATAAGTAATGTGGTATTTAATATATAATAAAGTGAAAAAGAACATGGATTTGAAGTTAGAGAAT